CGGTCGACTACGTGGGAGTCCAGCGACATAGCCATTACGCTAACTGCTGGTTGCCCCATTCCAAGTTACTTCTAAACCATCCTTTTTCAAGATAAGCTCCTAAAACAGTAAGTTAGAACAATAAGTTCTCTGAACATTTCCCTAGATGGCCTTGATAGTAATACATAAAGCCTACACTAATTCAAGCCCTGCTTCGTGTAGGAAAAAGCTGCAGAGCAGGGGCCACTTTATTAGAAATCAGAGTTGATCTATGGGAGACCAACTTCCCCTTTCTATTGTCTAGCATGCATAAGTGAGGACTTCCTGATCAAAAAAGTTGTCCTCACCTCCACTGCTACAGTCTCCTCTTTCTGAGCTCTGGTACCTCACTAACCTCTGGAGATATCATAGGCCATAAAGAAGGACAGTCTCTGAAGAGCAGAGCTGTTTGCTATTTGTTCAAACATTATCATCCTTTATATCTTGACTTTATATAACAAGCTGGGATCAACTTAACAGAAGTCAAGAGAAGCAGTCATCTACAATCAACTGACAATCACCAAATTGATCCTGAAAGACCTCACATTAAGTTTTGTCAATGATAAAGCAAGTATGAATACCATAAGAATGACAGGTAAATACTACAGGCACTCATGGGACCAGCAGTTAGTGTAATGGCTATGTCGCTGGATCCCCACGTGGTCAATCGCGGTTCATGTCCCACACCCAGAGGCTTAAACTCACACCGGGCGCGTGTGCATGCATGCCCAAAATCCCAAGAGGAGAATGGGAGAATGGAGGAGAAGGGATTGTGGCGTGGCAATCCCCTCTGGGGGGTGATTTCTCGCTTTCTGTCTCTGTATCTCTGTCTGTCTGGCGAGCGCACACGCCCTACAGCAAAAAAAAAAAAAAAAGAAAGAAAAAAGAAAGAAAAAAAAAAGGAAAAAAAAAGGTTGAAGCAAAGAAATGTGGTATTATCTGTTGAAGATATTTTGGAAAGAGAAACATGAATGAATTCCCACATGGTCTCAGGCATTGCCTAATTATAGCTTATTTGAAATCATCAGTGTCCTTGAGTCTCTCTCCCCCCCTTTCTCTCTTAGGCTTTTCGTAATAAGCTGCCTTTCCTTTCGCTATTGGTGTGTTTCGTTCAACTCTGTCCACAACACCAAGAACCTGGGTATCATCACAGAAGCCATCCTGTAACATATTAATATACTGTGGTGAGCCAGGCCAGGAGGAAGGCAGAAATGATGTCAACCCCTCCCCCAACCCTACCAACAATCTACACCTGCACAATGGCAGGTTTTGAGACTCCTCTTCAAAAAAAAACACAAATCCAGCTGTGACGAAAGCTGTAAAATCACAAACGACTATACAGCAGGAAGAGCAGCTTCCTGGGACCTCTGCTAAGTGCTGCTGAATCCCACTGTGAGTCATCCAACACCGCTACAGCCCTCCGAGCAACACACTCAAGACTACCTCAATGACCTGCCCTGGCCCAGCTCCCCCACCTACATTAGACAGGTGAGAGTTCCATGATTTCCGGTAGGTAGGGCCAACGCCCCTTCCCAGCATGAAGCAGTTACAGAAAACAGACCACTCACCTTCAACTCCTTACAAAGTCTTATGAGGATCGTGCCTCAAAGGCGAAATAAGAGACAGGAGAAAGCTAGAAAACAGAAGTGAGTAAGAGGGCTAGGAGCAACTTCCTATGTGGAAAACCAACCAGGGCAGAAAATTCCCTGCCCAGAGTAATGTAAACGAGATCTTCAGTGGCGTGGCGGGATGTCTAGCTGATGAAGCACATCTGACACAGCCAATGAGATCAATCAGTGGGCCCAGCCACATATGATAGAGCCAGTGCGATAAGAACGATCAGTGGGTCCAGCCAATCAACAAAACCGACTATTATAAACCTGCCAGGGCCACTGAGCCTCTCCCACTCACCTCTGGCCCACTCCTACCTCTCAGAAATGTACCTATGCTTTCATGTAGTAACCTACCTTTTCTTTTCACTAAAAATAAAATAATCGTAGCAACACTATAAAAAGAGTTAAAATCTCCATTTAACAAATAAGCAAGCTGAGACTCGAAGACATTAAATGACAGCCTCAAGAATGACAGTAAAGCCTTTTGGCCGTAACCGCCATCTTCCAGTGATTAACCAAAATGACGAACAGAAAGGAAAAGGGGAGAGGCACCCAATATATGTTCTCCAGGCCTTTTAGAAAACATGGAGTGGGGGAACCAGCAGTTAGCATAATGGCTATGTCGCTGGACTCCCACGTAGTCGACTGCGGTTTGCGTCCCGGACCTGGTGGCTTAAAACTCATGCCGGGTGCGTGTGCGTGCGTGCCCAAGATCCCGAGAGGAGAATGGAGAAGGGATTGCGGCGTGGTCATCCCCCTGGGGGGTGATTTCTCGCTTTCTGTCTCTATGTCTCTCTCTCTCTGGCGAGTGGACGCCCACTATATCGAAAACCTTTCAAAAGAAAAAAACCAGAAAACATGGAGTGGTTCCTTTAGCGACATAAATGCGAATCTACAAGAAAGGTGATATTGTAGACATCGCGGGAATGGGTACTGTTCAAAAAGGAATGCCCCCCAAATGTTACCATGGCAAAACTGGAAGTCTACAATGTTACCCAGCATGCTGTTGGTGTTGTTGTGAACAAACAAGTTAAGGGCAAGATTCTTGCCAAGAGAATCAATGTGCGTATTGAGCATATTAAACATTCTAAGAGCAGAGCTGGCTTCCTAAAACGCGTGAAGGAAAATGACCAGAAAAAGAAAGAAGCCAAAGAGAAAGGTACCTGGGTTCAACTAAAGCGCCAACCTGCTCCACCCAGAGAAGCACACTTTGTGAGAACCAATGGAAAGGAGCCTGAGCTACTGGAACCTATTCCCTAGGAATTCATGGCATGATGGGTGTTAAAAATAAATTAATCTGTGATCTATAAAAAAAAAAAAAAGAAGTGCAGGTTCAGAGCATAATATCAAAAGAGGAGAAAAATATTTTTTTTTAAGGGGAAAGAAACATAAAAAGCAGATCTGATTCCTTTAAAAAAAAAAAAATAAGGATAACTTTCTAGGAAACCTAAATGCCCCACTGTGGCAGAGGACAGTAATGGTGTTTTTGCCGAGAAGTAGTTTTGCAGAATAAGTATAGAGTTCAGTGAATAAATGTTTTCATTCCATTTTCCTTAACAGCTCTTAGCTTTATTTCAAGGGTCTTAACTACCTGAGCACCAATAGTATGAACTGATCTGATATTTATGTGCAGAGAATCAATTTTTGGCTATAAAAAAAAAAAAAAAGGACAGTAAATAAAAGAACAAGGACTGGGACCAGCAGTTTGCATAATGGCTATGTCACTGGACTCCCATGTAGTCGACTGTGGTTCGAATCCTGGACCCAGTGGCTTAAACTCACAACGGGCACATGTGAGTGCATGCCCAAGATCCCGAGAGGAGAATGTAGGAGGACTGCGGCGTGGCCATCCCCCCTTGGGGGTGATTTCTCGCTTTGTCTCTGTCTTTCTGGAAAGCTCACACACTCTCTCCTCAAAACCTCTCCACAAAGAGAAAAAAAGAGCAAGGACTGGAACGCAGGTTCCGTCTGGTTCCAAAGCCTCTGTTCCTTCAACAAATAAACTCATACTGTAACTCCATTTTTGATTTCCTCTCATAACTGACAGGTTTTCTTTTCTTTTTTTTTAAGATTTATTTATTTAATTCCATTTGTTATTATTTTTTTATTTTACCAGGGACAGAGAGAGAGAGAAAGAGAAAAGAAGGGAGTAAGCCACTAGGTTCAGGACTCAAACTGTGGTCACCCAGCACTTTTAACCGCCACGCCACCTGCCGGCCCCCAACAGGTTTTCAACATACAAAAAAATATACCTCTCCTTGGAAAATAGTGTAGAGAGCAGGCAAGTTTTCCATGGTCTCAGGCCTTCCTGAATTCATTCTTAAAGTTCTATGGCTCCTCCATTTCTCTTCTTTTAAAATCAATTCAAGTGTCCTGTCATAAGAAGTAAACCAGACAACAATGAGAGAGACATCTGCATTAGCAAGACATGAATGTGCAGACAGTCCACAGCTAGTCTCTACAGAATAATATGTTTAGACTTTTTAACGACTTTTTTCTTTATTTGTGAGAAGACGCATATGCCCTCACAGGACTCTTTCTCATAGAATGCTGGCCACTCCAACACCTGCCCAGCAAGTTTCAGGCTGACCAGACTGGGATTGGAACTACTATGGAACCTAGTTTCTCATGAGGATCAGTTACTGTTGCACCACGGAACCGGAACCGGCACAATATCCATGTACTTTTTTATCCAAATCTCTGTGTGTGTTCTAATTAGGGAAGTTCTAGAAACTTTGATCTTGTTTCTTTTCAATTTGCTACCTACCCAAGGCCATTAAACCACTGGTTCTGTTGTTTGCTATTGTTGCTATTCTTTTAGCCTTTGGGATGGGGATGGTGAATGTGTGTGGCTAGACTTTTTTATTTTTTTAAAGAGATTTTTGCTATAGGTCATGTGGGGTCACTGGAGAGACAAAGAAAGATAGAGAGCAAGAAATCACTTCTCAGGGGAGATGGCCATGCTGTAATCCCTTCTCCTCCAGTTTCCTCTTGAGATTTTGGGAATACACCCAGCAAGTGTTTCAAGCTGCTGGGTCCAAGATTCAAACCACGGTCAGTCATGTGGGAGTCCAGTGCCTTAACCACCATGCCACCTGCTGGCCCTATGGTTGAACTTTTTAAAAATTGAAATAATGGGGGCAACCTGGTGGCATAGTGGCTAAGGCAGCCCAATCCCAAATAGCCAACTGTAGAGTTTGCATCCCAGACCCATTGTCTTAAAAAACACACTGGGCTTGTGTGCATGCATGCCTACAGTTCCAAGAAGAGAATGAAGGAGAAAGGATTGCAGCATGACCATCCCCACCTTGGGTGATTTCTCTCTCTCTCTGGCAAGTACATATGCCCTATAGTAAAAACTAAAGAGAGTAAAAGAGGAAATAGTAGTAAGAGCTAACGTTTATCAAGCGCTTACTATGTCCAGGCAATACGCTATGCACTGTGGGCATGCAAAATCTCACTCAGTCTTCAAAATTCTCAAAATGTACGAGACCGTACAGTCAACAAAACAACGGCTTCCAGAAATCAAATTACTAAATCTACATTATGAAGTCAGCAAATGCAGGGCCAGCAGGTGGAGTGATGGCTGAGGCGATGGACTCCCACATGGCTGGCTGACTGCAGTTTGAGTCCCAGACCTGGCAGCTTGCTTTCTCATTTTTTTTTTCTTTCTCTCTCTATTAAGCACATGTAACCTGTCACAAGTTAAAAATAATGATAGGAGACCAGCAGGCCGCATGGTGGTTAAGGCGCTAGACACTCCCACATGGCCGACTGTGGTTCAAATACCGGACCTGGTGGCTTGCTTTCTCACTTTCTCTCTCTCTCTCTGTACCTCTCTCTGGTCAAATTAAAATAAATGAATGAATAAATAAAATTAAATAAATATTTTAAAAAATAATAATAATAAATAAAATTAAATAATTCATTTTTCAAAAGAACGATTTATTTTACTTTATTTTAAATTATTTTTTTTAATTTTTAAAATTATTTATTGAGCTTTATTTATTCATTCATTTTTAATTTGACCAGAGAGATACACACAGACAGAAAGTGAGAGAGAAGATGAGAAAGCAAGCTGCCAGGTCCAGGACTTGAACCGTGGTCAGCCATGTGGGAGCATCCAGCGCCTTAACCACCACGCCACCCACTGGTCCCTATTTCAAATTATTTTTAATCTGACCAGAGAGAAAAAAGGGACAGTGAGAAAGTAAGCCACCAGACCCAGGACTTGAATTGCATTCAGTCATGTGGGAGTTCAGCACCTTTACCAGCATACCATCTGCCAAACCCAAATAAATTATTCTTTTAAAAAAAAGGGAGGGGCCATTGGGACCAGCAGTTAGTGTAATGGCTATGTCGCTAAACTCCCATGTAGCCAACCACAGTTCAAGTCCCAGACCCGGTGGCTTAAACTCACACAGGGTGCATGTGCATGCATGCCCAAGATCCAAAGAAGAGAAGGGATTGTGGTGTGGCCATCCCCCCTGGGGGGTGACTTCTCGCTTTCTATCTGTCTCTCTCTGCCTTTCTGGCGAGCACACGTACCCTATAGCAAAAACCTCTCAAAAAAAAGGGGGGGGGGCACCAAACGGCAGAGTCAAACCCTAGCTGATTCCCAAATCCATGTTCTTAACCACTATGGTAGGCATTAAATATGAATTACTTCAAAAAGAGAGAGCCAGCTCCGTGCCCTGGTGGTTAAGGCAACCTGATACCACATGGCCAATTGTGTCGTTTGAGTCCAGCCTTAACCACAAGTGCCCAAAAGCTTGACAGAATGGAGAGGAAGAGAAGGGAATGCAGCATGGCCATGCCCCATTGGGAGGTGTTCTCCTTTCTCTGGCAAACACATGCACCTTTTGGTAAATGAAAGACAGAAACGGCCAGCAGGTGGCATGGTGGTTAAGGAGCTCAACTCCCACATGACCAACTGCAGTTTGAGTCCTGGACCTGGTGGCTTCCTTTCTCTTTCTCCCCCCTCTCTCTAGTGAGCGCACAAGTCCTATAGCAAACAAAAAAAAATAGCAATAAGAAAGAAAATTAAATAATTATTTTTAAAAATCATTAACAGACATTTCTTACTTAATATGTTATGGCAATTCATACCTTTTTTTTTTTGAGAGAGAGAGATTTTTGCTAAGGGTGTGTGGGGAGACAGAAAGTGAGACGTCACCCCTGGGGGGAATGGCCACACTGCAATCCTTTCTGTACTCTCCTCTCAGAATTTCGGGCACACACGCACAAGTGCCTGGCATGAGTTTCAAGGTGCTTGGTCTGGGACTCGGATAGCGTCAGCCATGTGGGAGTCCAACACTTTAACCACAACACTACCTCCTGGTCCCTGCATCTTTCTGTAAATCTCTACATAATAATCCATTGTTGGATGTTCCAAATTCATTCAACTACTGGGTCCTCAGAAAGTCATGACGTGTTTTTGTTTATTTGGAGAGAGATTTTTGCTATAGGGCATGTGCACTCGCCAGAGAGACAGAAAGTGAGAAATCACTCCCCAGCATGGATAGCCACACAGCAATCCCTTCTCCATTCTCCTCCCAGGATCTTGAACACATACACGCACAAGTACCCAGCATGCATGAGTTTGAAGCCACCGGTCCAGGACTCAAACCGCAGTCATCCATGTGGGAGTCCAGTAAAGTAACCACTACACCATCTGCTGTTCTCCATGATGTGTTTTGTATGAAAAACGCATCATGACTTTTCCAGGGACCCAGTATTTAAAAACGGTGTTAAAATGCATACTGCAATTCAGTAGGTTTGAGGTGGTGCCCAAGACCAGCAAATGCTGTTAAGACCCTGCTCTCCACCGGCAGCCCCAGGCTCCGTCGGAGAGCCAACGTAAAAGCCAGGTGCAGTGGTGTGCACCTGTTACCCCAATGACTGTGGAAGGCTAGCACATGAGGTCACGAGCTCAACGCTAGTGAGGCACCTCTGTGAGACCCTATCTGAAAGAGTCAGACACTGTGTAGTCCCAGCTGGAAAGCTGATGCACAGCCATGATCCCAAGACCCTGACTAAAAAGAGTTCTGTGGGACTAGCAGATAGTCCAATGGTTACATTGATGGCCTCCCACATGGTCAAACCTGGTTTGAGTCCCAGACCCGGTGGCTTTAAAAAAACTCACACTAGGTCTGTGTGCATGTGTGCCCAAAAACCCTGAGAGGAGAATGTGCGTGCATACACCCTATAGCAAAAATCTAAGAAAAAAAAAAAGAGTCCTGCTATTTTTGAAAACTTTCTAAAATAGTGAGATAGATATGAGACCCATAACAGAATTAAAAGGCCTAAGAAAATTGACAAGGATTGAGTTATACCATTTGGAATTGCCTTGCAGTAGTTGTGGTAGCAGGACTAAGATTTTATTTCACTTGGGACCAGCAGTTAGCGTAATGGCTATGTCGCTGGACTCCCATATAGTCGACCACGGTTCGCGTCCTGGACCCGGTGGCTTAAAACTCTTGCCGGGTGGGAGTGCGTGCGTGCCCAAGATCCCGAGAGGAGAATGGAGGAGAAGGGATTGTGGCATGGACATCCCCCCTGGGGGGTAATTTCTTGCTTTCTGTCTCTCTGGCAAGCGCACATGCCCTATAACAAAAACCTCTTAAAAAAAAAAAAGGGATTTTATTTCACTTAAATGTTTTCAACAATTGTGCTATAGGGGATCAGCAAGTGGCGTGGTGGTTAAGGCACTGGACATTCCCACATGGTCAACCACAGTTCGAGTCCTAGACCTGGTGGCTTGCTTTCTCACTTTTCCTCTTTCTCTCTCTTCGTCTGTGTCACTCTCTGGTCAAATGATAATAAAATGCATGAATGAGTAAAAATAGTTATTTTTTTTTTATTGTATTATATAAGGAAGGTATATATATCAGTCACCCTCGTCCCAAAACAATGGCAGAACAAGAAAAGTGAGGGGTGAAAGTGGGGAAGGCAGTGAGGGAAAAAATAGCTCAGTGAGGTAAGTCTATGTTGGGTAGGAATGTGAAAAAAGCAGCAGCCAAGTTGGGTTAGAATAGGGTGATAAGGGCACCCACATGGCGGAGCAACCCAGAATGGGGAATCAGAATCCAAGCACAAAAAAGTGGGGCCTAAGGATCAGAGAAGTAACGTAATGCAAATTTTATGATTTGGGTTGCTATACTGCGGGGGTTTTGTAGGAGAATGTCTTCATAGGAAAACTGAAGTATTTGGGGTAACAGGATATTAGCTCAGCAATTTAACATAAATGATTCAGAAAAATACATTATTTGTACTATACTTCTGAAATTTTGTGACTGTTAGTTAAAAAAAAAAATGAATGAATGCAACTGGAAAAAAAGAGAAAAAGACACATTTTAGCCATCCAGGTGGCGTGGTAGTTAAGGCAGCTGGATCCCCATTGTAGACTGCATAGTTTGAGCCCTGGTGGCATGAAAATCACGCTAGGCATATGTGTCGGTGTGTGTGCCCAAAATCGAGAAAGGAGAATAGAGGAGAAGGGGCTATGGTGTGGTCATCCCCTCAGGGAGTGATTTCTTATTTTCCTTCTCTTTCTTTCTCCAGTGAAGGCAGAGTGACTATGGCAAAAATCTTAAAAAAAAAAAAAAGAAAGAAAGAAAGAAAGAAAGAAAAGAAAGAATGAAAGGGACCAACAGATGTCATAATGGTTATGTTGCTAGACTCCCACACAGCAAACCGCGGTTCGAGTTCTGGAATGCCAGCCTAGATTCTGTAATCCATCATTCTAGTAATACTCTGAACTCCTCTCAATTCTCTCTATAATCTGCCTATCTAACAATACTCCTACACCATGGAGTATAGCTGCAGACAACAGAAACCACTTGTACCAGGTTTAGCAGAAAGGAATTTATTTCCAAGTGTTGGGTGGCTTCCAAAGACGATAGAACAGGCTTTGGCAGAACTTCCAAGAACAACTCCTAACCCACAAAATGATACTACCTTTGCCATAATCCATAAAGTTATGGCTATTACTACAGAAAGTCACCAAACTAGGAAGCTACTGACTAGAAAAACTCAGTTACTTAACTCAGTTTCGCAGGTGGGTAGTGATTAAGGCACTGGACTTCCACATGGCTGACTGCAGTTCGAGTCCTAGACCCAGCAGCTTGAAAATCATGCTGGGTGTGTACTTGTGTGCCCCAAATCTCAGGAGACTGGAGGAGAAGGAACTGTGGTGTGGCCATCCCCTCAGGGACTGATTGCTCACTTTCTCTCTCACTGTCTCTCTCTGGTGAGCACATGCACCCTATAGCAAAAACCTTTGAAAAAAAAAAAAAAAGGTTTTTCTTTGTTGGGAGGTAGCAGTGGTCACACACACACACACACACACACACACACACACACACAGATACAGTGGTCTCGACAGGGTTTTTTAAAACTGCCAGAGTGTGCATTCACTTGCCAGAGAGAGACAGAAAGACAGGGAAGGGGAAAGTGAGGCATGGCCACACCACGATCCCTTCATTTATCCACCTAGTCAAGATTTTTTAGACACATGTGAATACATGCCCAGCATGGTCCTCAAGCCTCAAGGGCCAGAATCAAACCATGCTTGACCTTGTGAGATCTGGCCTCCTAACCACTAGGTCACAGGGCTAGACCTCTTTTTGTAAGTTTATTTACTTATTTTTCCCATGAAAAAGAGACACAGAGACAGAAAGCGGGAGAAAAAGAGAGATAGGCACTCTAAAAAGAGTATTCACACTACGATCTACTCCCAGCTCGACCTGGCCTTAGCTCAGGGGCAGCCACACATCGCCCCTCAACATGTTCAGAGAGGTTTCCCCGATACAAACCTGGAACCTTCCCATGTGGTTGGCCTGGAGGAGTACTCTGTTACTGCTGCACCACTGCCCAGCCGCCCCCACCCCCATTGGGTTGTGATGCCTTAATTCACTTTCAGCTTTAGCCAGTCCTGGGTCATGAGCATGTGCATGCCTGGTATATTCGAGGAGGTCTCCAGACATGGTCAGAGCTTTCCCGGGTGGGTTAATCTTGCAGAACTCACATTATATGACTATACAGTGTTTGTTCCCTCGATTCTCATGTTAGGTGCAAAGGTATTTTAGAAAAGTTTTTATTTTTCCAGACCCTTTAGTAAGAGAGGCACATTAGAGGTCAGGATGTGTATTGAACTAAGCCAATCCATGCCACACCTGGATAGGTTTCTTACGTGCATGCATTAAATAGCCTGGTGTGGTGGTGAAAAACAATGATCTCCAGCCTCAAATGGGCCTTCGACTCCACCTGGCAGTCCCACATTTCTATAATTTTCCCACAATCCATAATGACTTTTAAATGTTCTGCAATATTCTCAAATCTCTGGCCTTCTTTCACTCTAAGATCCTACTTTCTACTTTTTTTTTTTTTTGCGAGGTTTCCGCTATAGGGCGCGTGCGCTCAACAGACAGACAGAGAGAGACATAGAGACAGAAAGTGAGAAATCACCCCCCAGGGGGGATGGCCACGCTGCAATCCCTTCTCCTCCATTCTCCTCTCGGGATCTTGGGCACGTACGCACATGTGCCTGGTGTGAGTTTTAAGCCACCGGGTCCGGGACACAAACCGCGGTCGACTACATGGGAGTCCAGCGACATAGCCATTACGCTAACTGCTGGTCCCACTTACTTTCTATTTTACAGAGAAAATAAAAGCCATTAGACAGAAATTCATTTCACCAATACCGAATACATAAACAACCTGTACCTATACTCTTTGTTTCCTTCTTCCCTTCTGTTAAATGAAGAAATTGCCCATCTTCCTCAGGCTGATCCCTCTACCTATACTTTGGATCACACCCACTTCCACATTCTTGGAAATCTTACACTACCAATGACCCAACTTCTCTCTCTCATACTTAACTTCACCAACGCCCTCTCAACTGGACCCTTGATAATCCCTCAATGCCATCAGTTACCACATCTTCTCCTCTCTACAATAGCATCTATGAAAAACAGTCTACTTTCACCACCTCCATTTTGTGCCTGAATCCTTGCCTCAAATCTACCTTGTGTCACAGCAACAAAATAACTCATGCTAAGGGTACCCTGAGTTCCAGGGAGACAAAGTCAACAAATACTTTTTTTCCCCTTTTTTTGGAGAGGTTTTTGCCATAGGGCATGTGTGCTCACCAGACAGACAGACAGACAGAGAAATAGAAAGTGAGAAATCACCCCCCCAGGGGGGATGGCCACGCTGCAATCCCTTCTCCTCCATTCTCCTCTTGGGATCTTGGGCACCCACGCACACGCACCCAGCGTGAGTTTAGGCCACCAGGTCCAGGACTCAAACCACAGTCGACTACGTGGGAGTCCAGCGACATAGCCATTACGCCAACTGCTGGTCCCAACAAATACTTCCCAATCACCAACTTACTGAAATTCCGAGTTTCCATCACAGACCACTCCTTTGCTTCTGAGACATTCCTCTGCTCTTCCCCCTTCTTCCTCCCTGTTTTTACTGCGATCATCTGCCTGTATGTACTTCACCACTAAACGTTGGAAATCTTCAAGGTTCTGCCTTGGGTGACCTTACTCACACCTATGGCTCAATTATCATGTACATGGAGTCAGGATACATCTGTCTCCTGAGCGCCAAAGCAGTATTCCAAACTGCCCTGCTGGTTGTCACGAATGACCTTTCCCCTAGAAAAAAGCAGAAGTCCACAAAGAACAGAAAAGTGGTCTACACTCATTGTCCAGTGGTCCTATCCCATGAGCGGCACCATCAGCCATGCAAGTGCTGGGCCAGAAACCCAGGCGTTACCTTCGATCCTCTCTTCACTCCCGATCCCAATCCATCATGAAGTCCTGCCCCACCTGCCCTTCTGAGCTGTCTATCTCTAGAACCTGTCCAACGACTTGCAGTTCCACATCCCTGACCAAGACTACTGCGTATCCCCCTGAGAGATCTGTCTTCCATCAGGCCTCTCCCGGCCCAATCCGGTCACGGCTCTGAGCCCACATCCCCGGGTGGGGCTTTAAAAACCGGACATTGCTATGATTTCCTCTGAAAAGCTGTCCTGCTTATTTCTGACACTGGCATCAGGTGTCTGCCGGGCAGCACTTGCACTCACCAGTGTGACCGCCGTCTAACGTCTTTCCCCAGCAGACCCGACCCTCTCCGCCCCGACGTGGCCCGTGCGCCCCCCGCGCCCGCACAGGAAGTCTGGGCTGGACGGCGGAGCGCAGGCCTGGCTCCGACATGCGCGACTTCCCTGCAAACCTGCGCCCTGGAAGGCCCGACGTCCCCTTCGCCGCTGTCCCTCTCAGGGGCACAGAGCGGGCCCTAGGAACGGACTGCAGAACCAGGTCGTCCTCCTCAGCCACAGGGGCTCGGGTGGAGGCCGTGAGACGCTCGGCACAGGGGAGGACGCAGGAGGCGCTTGCAGAAGGCAGCCGCCAGAGACCACCGCTCCGCTGCGGCCGGAAAGGGAACGCGGGGACCGCCGCCCACTCTAGGTCACCAGGCCCTTCAGTCCAGAAGCTCAGGCCCGTACCGCACGACAGAGGCGCCGCCTCCAGATTCCCGCGGCAACTCACCCCCGCGGCAACCCACCCCCGCTCTCGGGCATACTCACTCCGCTGCAGGTACAGACAGCCCCGCCGCGCCGCTGCGTGAGACTCGGGGTCCAGCGCGTTTCCACCCATAAGACACAGCGCGCGGAGGAAGGACGCCAGCTCGGTCCACCAATCCTGGCATCGTCTTCTCATGACGTCAGGAAGATATGGCCAATAACAAAGGACTATCTAGAGGGCGGTGCGGAAGGGAATCTTGAGAGCCGATTGGTTTATCCAAGCCGGAAATGATGGAGGAAGAACTAAATTAGAGCCAATCGCGCGGCGCGCGAGGGTGTCGGCGCGGTTAGTGGCGGCCCTTGAGGAACGCGCTGCCCGCTGTGATAGAACAACAGAAGCGCAAGGGCCCCGAGTTGCCACTCGTGCCAGTGAAGCGGCAACGGCATGAGTTGCTGTTGGGAGCGGCGGGGTCGGGCCCCGGAGCCGGGCAGCAGCAGGCGACGCCGGGAGCTTTGCTGCAAGCGGTGAGTGAAGAAGCCGGCGGCCTTCGGCCCTCGGCTCCCCTTCCCCTCAGCCCTGTGCCGGGTGAGCCCTCGCCGGCCTTTTCCCGCACTGCGGAGCCGATCGAGGATGTCTCCCTGCACTTCAAGGGTGAACGCCGTACGGATGCCCATCTCCCCCGGCGCGCCGTACGTGTGCGGGCTACAGCCGGTTCGCGGCCCCCCGGCCCCCCGGCCCCGAGGTAGCAGGGGAAGCAGGGGTAAGCTGCAGTCTAGTCAAATTCAGCCCCATTGCTCCGTGGTGGGCGCTGGCCAGATGGCTGCCACAGCAAGCTCCGCAGCTCATGGGCCCCGGCTCCCCTGCGCTGGGACCTGGGGATAAGTTTGGCTGTGGACATGGTGAGAAAGAGAGGGTAAAAGAGAATTAGAGGTAAGAACCTTGGCCTCGAAACCGGGGCAAAGGCTCATGCACCCTAAATCTCCCAGGGATCTGGTACGGACCACTCGGGAAGTTTGTAGTGAATGACCGAAGAAACAGGGGAGATTAATGATGCTGGCGCTGGGACTTTGAGCAGATGCCTTCCCCGTTCATTTCGCTGCATTAATTTTTTTTTTCTTTTTGAGAGAGATTTTTGCTACATGGTGTGTCCACTCGAAGAGAGGGAGGGAGACACAGAGAGACAGAAAGTGAGAAATCACTCCCCAGCGGATTGGCCACGCGAAAGCCCTTCTCCACCCTCTGCTTGGGATTCTGGACACGCATGCACACACACTTGGGTAGTTCAGCCACATAACCATTCCTCCATCTGCTGGTTCCCCTGCATTAGTATTATTAACAACTAAATAACTGCTAAATATTCCTAAGAGTCAGAAACTGCCATATTCCCATTTTGCAAGTGGGAAAACAAACTTACCTAGTAAGTGATAGAAACATATTTTGAACTTAGGATCTATGCTCTTAGTTACATTTTTTAAAATTATTTATTTGTCCACTCATTTATTTTTTAATTTGGCCAGAGAGATACAGAGAGAGAGGGAAAGTGAGAAAACAAGCCACCAGGTCCAGGACTTGAGCGGTGGTGGGCCATGTGAGAATGTCCATCCAGCACCTTAACCACCACACCACCTGCTGGTCCCCTTAGTTACATTTCTTGTACAATATAGTTCTGATCACGGCTCTCCTACTAGGCCTGGGCTCACAAGAGGAAATAGGGGATTCCTTCCTCTCAGCTCAACCAGCCTGTTAGCATATTCTGCTAGCACTGTCCTCAGATATGTCCAGAATTTCTGCCACTTTTACCACCTCCATCACTGCCTCCTAGTCTAAGCCATTATCTCCTCTGGCATTATTGTAGCAGCAGGCTCCTAATTTGTCTTTCTGTTTATTCTGCTCTTTTATTTGCAGTCTGTTGCCAACTTGGCAGCCTGAGGAATCTTCTAAACCACAGATCACATTCTTTCTGCTGGAAACTCTTGACTTTACACTTTATTCACAGTAAAAATCAAAAAACTTGATAATCATTAAAAACCCTTTCCCTCCCACCCACCACTTTTTCATTGTTCACCTAGCTACAGTCCTACCTGTGTCATCCTCCTGCTTTGGGACCTTTGCATTTGCTGCTCCCACTGTCAGAATTTTCCATGGTTTACATACTTAGCTTCTATAAATCCTTGCTCAAATACCTCTTTTCCTTTTTCTTTTTAAGAATTATTTAAGGACAGACAGGTGGCTTGGTGGTCCCACATGGCTGACTGTGGTTCCAGTCCCGGACCTGGCAGCTTGCTTTTTCATTTTTCCTTTCTCTCTCTCTGGCCAAATTTTAAAAATTAATAAGTGGAGATCAGCAGGTTGCATAATGCTTATGTTGCTCGACTCCCACTTAGTCAACCGCTGTTCCAGACCCTGTGGCTTAAAGCTCAAACCAGGGAGGCCAGCAGGTGGCATAGTGGTTAGGGTGCTGGAATTCCCATGTGGCTAACCAGGGTTCAAGTCCCAGGCCCGACAATTCGCTTTCTCATTTTCTCTTTCTGTCTTTCTCTGGCAAAACGCATGTGAAAAAAAAAAAAAAAACAACAAAAAAAAAATTCTTAAAATTAAAAAAAAAAAAAAAAACCTCATACTGTGCATGCATGTGGAGAATGGAGGAGAACGGATTGTGATGTGGTCATTCCCCCGGAGGTGATTTCTCCCTTATGTTTCTCTTTCTCTCCAGCAAGTACTCACATCCTATTCCAAAAATCTCTCTTAAAAAACAATCAGGAGTTGGGACCAGCAGTTAGCGTAATGGCTATGCGTGTGCGTGCGTGCCCGTGTGCCCAAGATCCCGAGAGGAAAATGGAGGAGAAGGGATTGCGGCATGACCATCCCCCCTGGGGGGTGATTTCTCACTTTCTGTCTCTCTTTCTCTGTCTGGTGAGTGCACATGCCCTATAGCAAATACTTCTCCAAAAAAAAAAACAATCAGGACTGGGGCCAGCAGGTAGTGTGGTGGTTGGGGTGCTGGACCTCCCACATAGCCAACCACAGTTTGAGTCTCGGACCTGGAGACTTACTTTCCTACTTTTCCTTTCTCTCCCTCTGTCTCTCTCTGATCAAATTTTTAAAATAGATAATAAATGAAATAATTATTTTTAAAAAATCAGGACCAGCAGACAGTATAATGGTTACATTGCTGGACTTCCACGTAGTTGACCATAGTTCAAAGCCCAGACCTAGCGGCTTGAAACTCAAACTAGACGATTGTGCATGCATTCCCAAAATCCTGAGAGGAAAATGGAGAACGGATTGTGGTGTGGCCATTCCCCCTGGGGATTGATTTCTCACTTTCTGTCTGTGTCTCTCTGGCGAGTTCATGTGCCCTATAGCAAAAATCTCTCTTTTAGAAAAAATAAAAAATTAGTAATTGGAGCTGACAGATGGCGTGGTGGTTAAGGGTGCTGGACTCCCACATGGTTGACCACGGTTCAAGGCCCAGACTGGGCGGCTTGCTTTCTTGCTTTTTCTTTCTCTCTCTCTCCCTCCCCCCCTTTCTGGTCAAGTTAAAATAAATAAATACATAAATAAAAATTAATAAAACTTAATAAGTGAAAAATAATAACAAAATTAAAGATAATTATTTAACATTAGTTTAAAAGATAAAATGAAACAGGCTAACAAAGTCTTTAATTTTTTAAATTTTTCGATTCACTATACAATACATGCACCCATCACGGCAAGGGGGTGAAGGGGCAGGGACATAAGAATGTAAGCTACAAGGACTCAAAATGCAGTCAACTCTGTAGGGGTCCAGCACCTTAACCACCATGCTGCATAACATTTTTTGAATAAATGAATAAGCTGGAAACTACTAAAGAAATTTAGGGTTATGCATAGTACATTTACTCTTGTTATTTGACAAGTAAGAACATCAGCTCTGGTTTAGGTAAACTGCCCAAACCTAGGCTTAATGCCCAAGACCATAATTAAAACTATTTTGCTTAATAGTCTGTAATCTACAGAGTTCTTGGGAAGGTCAGTTCAGTCATTAAATGAGTGAGAAACCGAACAATGTTGAATGACATAGACAGGGTCTCTACAGTAACAGAGCATCGTTCCTCTGGGAAAATAACACAAAATATATAATCAAGTACATGAGGAAGGTGATTTCAGATAGTGCTGATTGCCATGAAGGAATACAACAGATCTTGGGAAAAGCTAATGGAGAATGTATTCCATGAAAAAAAAATTATTTAGGGGACCAGCATTTGGCGTAATGACTATGTCACTGAACTCCCATATAGTCAATCGCAGTTCGAGTCCCGGACCCGGTGGCTTAAATTCACAAGGGGTTCATGTGCTTGCATGCCCAGGATCCCGAGAGGAGAATGGAAAGGGATTGCTGCATGGCCATCCCCCCAGGGGGTGATTTCTCGCTTTCTGTCTCTCTCTGTCTTTCTGGCAAGTGCACGCACCCTGTAGCAAAAAACTCTGAAAGAAAAGGTATTTTACCTTTTTGCACCACAATAAACTTGTTTTAGTTCTATAGAGAACATATGTTTGTGAGATGGGGGTGAAAAATCACCCCCTGGGTGATATCTATACTGCATTCCCTTCTCTTGTTTCTTCTCTGGATTTTGGGCATGCACAATACATACCCAGCACGGTTTTCTTTTCCTTTTTTTTTTTTAAAGACTTATTTATTTTTGGGCCAGCAGGTGGTGTGGTAGTTGGGGGCGCTGGACTCCTACATGACCGACTGTGATTCAAATCCCAGACCTAGTGGCTTACTTTCTCACTCCATCCCCTTCTCTCTCTCTCTCTCTGTCTCTGGTCAAATTAAAATAAATAAAAAATAAATAAAGTTCAATTAAAAAATAATAACAGTTCTTAAAACATAATGATTTATTTTAATTTAATTTATTCATTCATTTATTTTAATTTGACCAGAGTGAGGGAGGGAAAGTGAAAAGGCAAGCCACCCAGTCTAGTATTTGAACCATAGTCAGCCACATGGGAGTGCCCAGTGCCTTAACCACCACATCCCCTGCTGTCTCCCCCCTAGGATGCTTTTCAAGCTGCTGAGTACAAGACTCAAACCACACAGCCAGCCCAAGTGGGATTCAGCTTCTGTGCTACATGCTGGCTCATACACTTGTATTTTAACTGTTTTTCCATGAGCGTTGTGAAGTCCCTTTGTACAACAGAGTTAATGGAATACAGCTGGGCATGTGGGATGCTACTTGAGTTTAAGTGACCCAGAAAAGACGTTCTGAACAAAAAATAATTCAAAAGGAGCCAAAAACTAGTGGGGGAAGGATTTCTGGTGAGAGCAAATATAATTGTAAAGATCCTAAGGCAACAGTGAGTTTTAACACGTTTGAGCAGTCAGAAGTTGACTGTGGGTAAGAGCAGAGTCAGGGAAGGGGAGAGTCCGTGTGGTAAGAACCCATACTGGGAAGTTCTGGAGAGTATCAGATTAGAAACATGAGTCACATGAGAAGAGCCAACATTGTCTAAATTGGTTGAAATCCCCTTAATTACTATTTGTGTGGTCTTTTCCCTCTCCTCCTGCCATGTACACACACAGATTTTGCTCTTTCTTTTGCCTATATACAATGGCTCCCTCATACTTCTCTTTTGTTTAGGGGCCTCCACGATGTTCCTCCCTTCAAGCCCCAATCATGCTGCTCTCAGGACATGAAGGGGAAGTGTACTGTTGCAAGTTTCACCCCAATGGATCCACCTTAGCATCTGCAGGATTCGACCGACTGATATGTAAGGCATTGTTTTTTAACCTGGCTTAATTACTTTCTGTCGGATTATGGTTTGTTTACCTTGGGTGCCATAGAAGGTTATTGATCTAAGTTGGCAACATAGCAAATTACATGGCTAGCATGCCAAAAAGTTGGAGTGTGAAAATGCTAAATGTCTTGGCTTATTGTTGTAGAGATCAGGGTTCATGTGATAAGTACAGAAGGCAGAAGGAAGGATTTGATTTATTATAGGTTGAGTATCCCCCATCTAAAATGCTCAAGACCAGAAGTGTTTAAGATTTTTTTATTTTAGAACGTACATGTATACATATTGAAATTCCTGGGGATAGAACTTGAATCTATACAGGAATTCCAGTATGTTTCATAAATAACATACAAATTGCCTGAAGGTAATATATATTTTTGTATTGCAGCATTTTTTTAGTGCAACATGTTAAATGAGGTTGGGTGTGGAATTTCCCACTTCTGACCTCATGTTGGTACTCAAAAAGTTTCAAATTTTGGAACTTTTTGGATTTCTTTTTTCTTTTTTCTTTTTTTTCTTTTTTTTTTTCTGAGAAGTTTTCGCTATAGGGCGCGTGCGCTCGCCAGAGAGAGAGACATAGAGACAGAAAGCGAGAAATCACCCCCCATGGGGGATGGTCACACCGCAATCCCTTCTCCATTCTCCTCTCGGGATCTTGGGCACGCACTCACACGCCCGGCTTGAGTTTAAACCCACCGGGTCCAGGATTCGAACCGCAGTCAACTACGTGGGAGTCCAGCAACATAGCCATTACGCTAACTGGTGGTTCCCGGATTTCTTTTTTCTTTTAAGATTTTTTTTTTTTAAGAGGTTTTTGCTATAGGACATGTGTGCTTACCGGAGAGATAGAAAGTGAGAAATCACCCTCTGGGGAGAATGGCCACACCACAATCTCTTCTCCAGTCTCCTCTTGGGATTTTGGGCACACATATGTGTGCCCAGTGCGAGTTTTAAGCCACCGGGTCCGGGACTCAAACCACGGTCAACTATGTAGAAGTACAGCTACATAACCATTATGCCATCTGCTGGTCCCATCTTTTAAGATTTTTGCCATAAGGTACATGCACTCACTGGAGAAAGAGAAAGTGAGAAATCACCCTGCAGTGGGTATCATGTCATAGTCCATTCTTCTTTAGGATTTTGGGCATGCACACACGTTCCCAGTGTGTTTTTCAAGCCACTGGGTTAGGAACTCAAACCACTAAGTTGACCACGTGGGATCCAGCACCTTATCCCACTGCTGGGTACATTTTGGATTTTGGATTCAAAATGCTCACTTGTAGTTGAAAAGTGAGTTGTTCTAGTTTGAGGATATCTTTTGCATTGAGGTAAATCTTGAACTGATTTTATAGAAAGATGAGATTTAGGCTTCACAGGTTATTAGAAATAATAAGAAGAAAGAGAACTTTTCTTTTCCCAGTAGTTTGAGGTCCTCTTTTATTTATTTATTTTTTTAATTTGACCAGAATTGAGAGAGAGAAAGCAAACCACCAGGCACCAGGTCCGGAACTCGAACCACAGTCAGCTATGTGGGAGTCCAGCGCCCTTAACAACCATGCCAACTGCAGGCCCCCTCTTTTTTTTTAAGAATTATTTTATTTAACTTTATTTATTTATTTACTTATTTTAATTAACCAGAGATCGACAGACCAAGAAAGAGAGAGAGAAAGTCAGAAAGCAAGCCAAGAGGCCTGGGACTCAAATTGCAGCTGGCCATGTAGGAGTCCAGTGCCCTTAACCACCACACCACCTGCTGGCCCCGAGGCCCTCCTTTTGATCTGCACCTAGAATCCTACCACATGGGAAGGAAGGAGAGGATCCTAAAGTGCTAATAGACTTAGATGAAGATGGTTTACCTGGGCATGGCAGGTGGCATGGTGGTTGAGGATGTTAGACTCCCATGTGGCCTACCGTAGTTCAAGTCCTGGACCTGGTGGCTTGCTTTCTCACTTTCTCTCTCTATCTCTCTCACTCTGTCCCTCTCTGGCCAGATTAAATGAATGAATGAATGAATGACCTACCTGTACATCATTAGGATCTGCTACCACATTTTCAGTTACAAGTTATTAGACCTGTTTTGTGGGGAGTAGAAAAGGCCAGTTTGGGGATTTATGAGAAAAGGCAAGAGAGAGAACTATCTATCGACACTGCTACCTATACGCCGCCCATTTTGATTAGTAGGTTAAAGTTCTATGACCCTTAAACTTTCTAGTAGCCAAACATCAGGGAGGCTGGGGGATCTCTGGAGAATTCCATGAATTATTGATAAGCTTAATTTCATCAAACAGGTTAGAAACAGTTTTGTTTGATTCTTTTTCACTTTTTGCTATAGAGAGCATGTACTTGATGTAGAGAGACAGAGAGGGAGAGAATGTCTTCCCTGGGGATTTTGGACTACGTAGGAGTCTAGCGACATAGCCCTTACGCCAACTGCTGGTCCCTGTTTTTCAAGCCACTAGATCCAAGACTCAAACCTCTCAATCAGCTGTATGCGATCAAACTGCCTTAGCCACCAGCTGGCCCTACAAATAGTTTTGTCAAAAAAATAACTATCGTATGCATGTGCCTCCTTGTTTGTGTAGGTAATTCTTAACATTCAGGGGGTATAGCAGGTGGTATAGTAGTTACAGTGATGGCTTTTACATGGCCAACTGCGGTTCACGTCCCAGACCTAGTGGCTTGAAAATCATGGCAAACGCATGTGCATTCATGCTCAAAATCGCAAGAAAAAGGGATTGTAATGTGGCCATCCTCCTTGGTGGTGGGAGGATGATTTCTCACTTTCCATCTCACTGTCTCTCTCTGGTGAGAGCACATCCCCTATGACAGAAATCTTTTTAAAAAAATAGGCTGGGGCCAGCAAGTGACATGGTGGTTAAGGGCACTGGACTCCCACATGGCCGACCATGGTTTGAGCCCTAGACCTGGCGACTTGCTTTCTCACTTTCCCTCCCTTTCTCTTTCTCTCTCACTCTCTCTTGCTCTGTCCCTCTCTGGTGAAATTAAAACTAAATAAGTTAAATTAAATTAAATAATTCTTTAAAAAAAAAAATGGTGGCAGGTGGCTTGGTGGTTAAACATGCTGGACTCCCACATGGCTGATCATAGTTCTAATCTTGTACCTAGCAGCTTGCTTTCTCTCTCTCTTTCTCTCCCTTTCTGTATCTATCTCTGTTCAAATTGAAGAAAAAGAAGAATAAATAAAATTAAATAGTTCTTTAAAAATTAAATAAATAGGGACTAGCAGTTAGCGTAATGGCTATGTCACTGGACTCCCATGTAGTCCCCTGCGGTTCAAGTCCTGGACCCCATGGCTTAAACTCATGCCACACATGTGTGCATGTGTGCCCAGGATCCCAAAAGGAGAATGGAGGAGAAGGGATTGCCGCGTGGTCATGCCCCCTGGGGGGTGATTTCTTGCTTTCTGTCTTTCTGGTGAGCGTATGCACCCTATAGCAAAAAACTCTCAAAAAAAAAGGCAATGATAATAATGATAAAAGAATTACTTTAATAAATAAGTAAATAAATAAATAAATAAAAATAACATTCATGGAACTTCACTCCTTGTTAGATCAAATGCCCTGAGGAACCGTTTCTACTTATTTACTTCAAGTCTAAAGTCATTGCCATTATAATTTTCAAGTTGTGGCTTCTTAGGTTTTCCATAATTTATATCATTTTGCAGTCAGAACAGACAAATAGTAGTGGGTCCCAACTTTAAATTACAGGAAAAAATATTTTCAAAAATTATATCCATCCCTTTTCTTTTTTAACCTTATAAATTGTAAAAATATTGCCACTTTTATTTTAGTGTCAGGAAAGTTGGTCTACTTGATAGGACCATTAGTGTTCCAAAGGAATATAATTTGAGAACTATTGTCTGTTAAATTCGTAAATACCCTCTCAGCAGCCAGTAATTCAGTTACTTTTTGCCTAATAACGCTCAGAGAACTCCTGTCTTCCTACCAGTGTTGTGGAATGTGTATGGTGACTGTGATAACTACGCCACGTTAAAGGGGCACAGTGGAGCAGTGATGGAATTGCATTACAACACCGATGGCAGGTGAGTACTCTGAAGAGTGGAATGGCTCTTCTCTTACTGGCCCTTCTCAGCATCTTCGTACTTTTCATCCTTAAGTTTCCTCTCAGGAGACCTCAGCTTCAAAACTTGCTCTATGTTGGGTAGCTTCTTATCCTTATGCCTGTCGCCCCAAGTGAGGTGTTTATTGTCCAGATGTGCATAGCTATAAATACGTAATTTCTGTCATCTCACATATCAGCGCCCTTGATAGATTTTTCTGTTTAAGAATATTTTGTTTCATTTTATTTATTTCATTTTACTTTTAGTTTTACTGTAGGGCATCTGTGTTCACCAGAGAGAATAAGAGAGAGAAAGTAAGAAGTCACCCCCCAGGGCAGGAGGCCACACCACAGCCTTCCCATGTTCTCAGTCTCTTCTCAGGATTTTTAGGTGCACATACACATGTTCCCAACGTGTTTTTCAAGCCACCGGGTCCTGTACTCAAACTGCTCGTTTGGCCATGTGGGATGCAGCTGCCCCACCACAGTGCCACTGGCTGGCCAGTTTTCTTTTTGAAGACATAAAGCAAAATGTAGTTTACATGTTAAAATCAGCTACTTTTTACTATAAAAGTAGTAAATACTTTTTTTTAGGTTTTTGCCATAGGGCACATGCACTCGCTGAAGGGATGGGGGAGTGAGTGATGCCTTTTAGGGGGAGGACCACACCACAATCTGTTCTCCTCTTAGGAGTTTAGCCACACATGCACATGGGCCAAGTATGGTTTTCAAGTCACTGGGTCCGAGACTTCAACCGTGCTCAGCCACGTGGGAGTCAAACACCTTAACCACTGTGCCACCTGCTGGCCCAATAAAACACCAAACACCAAAAATACTATACATTTTTCTAGAGCCTTTTTTCTACTCAGAACTATTAGAATTTTACATATTTGCTAGAGCTGCTTGCACAATCTCTGCTGCTTTTTTTTTTTTTTTTTTTTTTTTTTTTTTTTTTTTTTGTGGTGTTTTTTTTTTTTTTTTTTTTTTTTTTTTTTTTTTTTTTTTTTGCTA